CTGTCTTGTCTGACAGATGATTTTAAACCCTCTGTCTTGTCTGACAGGTGATGGGCGGTCCAGACGGCGACATGTTTAACTACTACAAAATGCTGATGCTTCAGGGTCTGATCGCAGCTAGGAAGCACATGGACAGAGTTCTGCAGATTGTGGAGATCATGCAGCAGGGTGAGAGATGGAACCACCCACAGACCCACCCGTTTCCACTCCCACCCTCTGACCCCACCCATCCTCTCTGTGCCCCCTCCAGGATCCCAGCTGCCCTGTTTCCACGGCTCCAGCACCATGCGAGGCCTGAAGGAGCGTTTCCACATGAGTCTGACAGAGGAGCAGCTTCAGCTGCTGATCGACCAGCTGGTGGACGGATCCATGAGGTCTCTGACCACCAAACTGTACGACGGCTTCCAGTACCTCACCAACGGCATCATGTGACCCGCGGACCCCTGACGTCTTCTTTTCTTCACGTTTTCTCTCATCTTCTCTGGAAGATTTCTGTTTGGAGTCTTTCCTCCTCTTTTTCCATATTTGTGCAAACAGCTCTCATTGGCTGCTCAGCAGGACTTTTGGCCAATCAGGGAGCAGCTCAGTTTTAGTTTGGACTCATAGGTGTTTCCAGGTGAACAGGAAGTGATGATAAAACTGATTAAACAACTTGTGTGTGTTTTCTTTGTTATTTCTGAGTCCCACTTACCCGAGGTCTACGAGAAGTTCTCGGCTGATAGCAGACGTGTGCACGATCCAAACATTTAGTCAGTGAACCACTCGGGGCTCAGTTCGGTTCTGATCTGTCTTTCAGAACAGTCTGGTCCTGTGCCAGCTGTAGAGCTGGTCCAGGTTGGTCCATGAACAAAAACTCTGGACTCAATGTGTGTTCAGTGACGTGGGAAATTTAACCTGCTGAGAACTCCTAAAACCAGTTTCTGACCATTAGCTGAAACAAGTTTTTATTTCCTGAGTTCAGTGAACGCATCATTCTGAGACCTGACCTGTCTTTGGGTCCAACAGAGGTTCTGTTGGACCCAAAGACGTCAGTTCCTGTAAATGGTTTCCTTTAAAGTGAAATTTGTTTCTGAGTGAATTCATGAACAGTTTGACCCTAAAACTTCTTTAAAACCTCGAGCTCAAAATAAACTAGATTTAAAGTCTGGACCAGATGGTTCTGTTGGGAGCGTCGGTTCTGGTCAGGAACCAGAGCAGACAGCTGAAAACATGCAGGTGAAGAAAGACCCAAACGGTTCTGAGCAGAAACGATCAGAACCCAGAGCACTCAGACCTGTTGGTCCGGGTCAGGTTCTGGTTCTGCAGTCAATCCGTAAGTTGTTCACAATAGAAGCTTTTAGTGAGTCGGACAAATGAAACCCAAAAGTCTGAAGAAAAAAAAACAGTTTGGCTGCAGTTCCGGTTCGGGTCACTGGGTGGCAGCAGAGTGGATCCAGACAGGGCTGGGACTCCATTACCCAGAGTTCTGTGGAGGTGGGGCGGGGCCACACCTGCCCACACCTGCAAGGAGTTCAGACTGAGACCAAAGGAAGAAATCAGAAAAGTGACGAAGTGGAACATGTTGAGAGAAAACTGAACCGAACCTGAGGGATCTGATCCAGACTCAGCAGGACCAAGTCCACACAGAGTTCACCTGGACCCACCTGGATTGATCTGGACCCACCTGGATTTGACTGACTCAAGATTTCTTAACCCTGACCTGAAGCAGGAAGTGAAGCAGACATGGTGAGTTCTTCAAGGACCAGAGTCCAGGTTCTGGTCCTGGTTCTAGCTGTGCAGGTAAATGGGTTTCTGATAGTTTCTGGACAGCTGGGTGAAACAATCAGTTAAAATAAAAAACATCAGGAGCTTCAAGAATGTCAACAACACAACAAACTATTAAAATAAAAGCACAGGTTTAAAGATCAAAAGTAAAATAATTATTTGAGCGAATATAAAATTAAAATGAAACGTGAATAAAATTTATTGTTGCAGCTCAAACGTTTGTTAAACGAACCAATCAGAGCGCAGCAGACAGGTGATGGGCGTGGCTTCTGGAGTGTTGTTTACTCACTCAGCTGATGTTTGTTCTTGTAAACATGTTTGTTTATTCAGGTGGAGGGTCAGCCGGGACAAGCTGCCCCCCCCCACCCCCCCACCCAAACATTCTGTCCCCACCTTCAGTTGCAACTCCACGAGTTGGTTTTATGTTAGAAAACCTCTGTCCATTTTCATTACCTGTCCAAGTGTCTCTGTGGGAGGCAGGGGACAACTGTACAGGTCTCCGGTCCATCACAGTGACACGTGGACGGGTCTCCGGTCCATC